GGAAACTTCCTAATCGGCACGCGTTAACGGCAACCGTAGCCGGCGAACATAGCCATCTGTTATATGTCACATGTAACCACAAACGTACGCTACCTCGCCGACACTGGCGTAGAAGTTAGCGTTCTTCCTGCAAATTCTAACGACTGGCTTCACAAATGTGTTTCAAACTTACAGGCGGAAAATGCAAAGCAAATTACCGCATATGGTAAAAGATACTTTTACCCTAACGTGGGTTGACGCAAACCCATTCACTGGATCTTCGTTGTTGCAGATGTTTATATGGCAATCGTTGGTAAAGACCTCCTACAACACCACAATCTACTCATCGATAAGCGCAAACGGAGGCTAATAGACGGAAACACTAAGTTATCTGTTTGCGTAACTCCTTCCGGCTGCAGATTATCTCTAGTCACAATTAGGCACACGATAGACCCATTCTACAAACAATTACTCGAAAAGTATTTAGGGATATACCAAACACAACCGAAATTGCCGTGTGTAACCAGCAATGTCACACATCATATAACGACTACGGGGCCACGTGTATTTTCGAAATCACGCCGACTGGCTCCCGAAAAGCTGAGGTTGACCAGAAACGAGTTCGATCACATGACAGAGACATGCAGCAAATTTTAGCATTTGGTTACCCTTAGGGAGTAGATGTGCATACAGTCTGTTTTGATGTGTTGTGTCACCAGTCTTCTGGCGTTACCCTTAAAGTTTGTGTTGGGACTGAGCCTAAGTTTTCAAGAGGATGATCAGAATTGCCTACGATCCTGTAAGTAACCAGCAGGTCACTTCTGGGACGCCTGTACTGTAATGAGTTATGGTTCTGTGATTTGTAGCGCTCTTCACGAGGCTTGAATTTGAGTCCCTTAAATTGATTCCGTGGCTTGCCTTTAGATACGTTGCAATGTATTCGAACTATCTAAAAATGAGCTTCAGCGCCACCGGTGCGAGATTTGTTCAAAAGAGATTTTTGCTGCTGTTAGCTTAAGATTTTAGACCATAATGCACCAACACTCCTAGATCTTTTTCAACTTGAGATAATTGTAGAGCAGAGTTGTAGTCTACAACATGTCCCGGATAAACTACTTTACACTTTGAAGTGTTGAAGGTAAGTCCGTCGACACCTGCCCAACTTTGAAGTTAAGTCAGATCCTCCTGAAGTGCCAGTACATCCTCTTGGTTGCGTATCTCTCCCCAAAGTTTCACATTATGAGCAAAAAGTAACAAGTCAGATGAAACTTGCTGTGGAAGATCTTTAATGTAAATCAAGAAGAGAAGAGGTCCTATTATAGAGCCTTGGAGGACCCACTAGGACATTCCATAGCCTGAGAGAAGGTGAAGTTAACTCCGACCTTAAAATGTCGGTTTTCTAGATATTAAGCGAGCCAGTCAGTTAGAGGTGGTTCGGCACTCAATGGTTTGAGCTTATTCATAAGAAATACATGGTTGACACTATCAAAAGCTTTTGGGAAACCAACGTGAATGATGTCAACCTTCTCCTTGAGGTCAAGGATGGTTGTCCATCTGTGCATCGCAGTCAGCATGTTGGTTATACAAGAATGACCCTTCCTGAAACCATGCTGTTGGGGTGAGAAGAACTTTATGGATAATAAGTAGCCACGTAGACTGCCGCTAGCAGAGACTATATGATTTCCGAGGGCATTGAAAAAAGTGCTACTGGCCGGGAGCTTGAAGGATCGCTGCGTTGACCTCCTCTGAAAACTGGTGTGACGTGGGCCAGCTCCCAATTCTACAGTACCATGCCTCGGTTAAGTGCATGTGAGAACGTCACGCTAACTGGTGTTGTCAAGATTGAAGCCAATCGCCTCATTATAGCAGAATGAACCATATCCGGGCCAGGAGAGGTGTCTTTGTTATGTGCTACGGTTTACGGAACACTAGGTCACCAATTAGGTTCACTTCGAAAAGTCCTGTGCAGTTGCAGGTGACGCTTTCATCAGTGTAGTTGATGTGGGTCGATCGAAATGTCCGAGACTATTGTTCAGCCAAAAGATTAGCGGCATCATCCTCATTACTGGTCGGACCATTATGACCTAGCAGTTGGAAAACTCCAGTTTTACCTTGTCGAAGAGAAGCTGCATGACGGAATAAGCTTTTCGGATTGGAGACAAATTTATCGATAAGCTTTATCTGGTACCGAAGCCTGTCTTCTCTTATTGCCTTTGTGCATATGTTCCCTACATGTTTGTATTGCCTGTACGCACCGTTGTTATCAGTTCGTTTGTATTCTGCTCAACAGTGCCTATTGCGGTTAAGCAAACAAAGAGTTTAGTTCTTGATAATTGTAGGTTGCTTGTAGATCTTGGGGTCCATTTGAGGAACTGAATGCTCAGAAGCACATAAGATCATGTGCAGTAAGAAATCCCAAGGGGCATCCACTTCAGGTTGAAGGTGAACATCCCAATCCACCTGTTGTAGATAGTCATGTAAAGCTAACACATTCAACCGTTTGAAATTCCAGAGTCTGTTGTTGGTGGGATATCTTAGGTCAGTTGTGCTGACAAAACTGAAGGCTATGACGGCATGATCGCCTTTCCCAAGGAGAGCCAGCATTGGTAGGTTGTGAATTAGGAATTCTCCGTTCGTGAATACCCAGTCTAAGCACGACGGCGTCTGATTGTTTCTCTAGCGAGCTGCTATCTCCACACTTTCGAATAATCTCAGATCTTCAGTGAGTTTGAGGAATCAAGATTCAGTAGAGTTGTCACCTCCAATGTAGGTATGTTCCGCGAAGTTGGCTTTAGGAATATTGAAGTTTCCTAGAATCAGGATATGAGAGAATCCCAGGCGCGTAGAGCGAGTTAATTCTTCCAGCAAACGATTGTCGTACTCGATACCAGCAATGGGCTTCCTGTAGATGACTTCAACTAGACACCTCGAGGTGATAGACAGTCTTACTGAGCACCATACTGATTCATCAAGATTGAGAAGCTCTTGGTTGTGAAGTTGGTGCACCTCCAGGACTGATCGTATGTGTAATGCTACTCCACCCCCCATTCCAGTTTTGCTGTCGTTGAGAAACAAAGACATTCCAGGTACTGCTAGTTCCTGGTCCGTAAACTGAGATGATATTCATGTTTCGGATATTTCTATCAGATGAGCATCATTAGTGTTGCTAAGTTCACGTAGCTCATCCATTTTACTTGGCAAACTCGCGGCGTCCATGTATAGGCAGTTTATGCTTTCGATTTGGAACGCGTGAGCTTCTTCCTGTGTGTCTATATGAGCCTTACGTGAGTGAACAGGTAGCCTACGTATACAAGGTTTTCTGAGTTGGTAGTACCTGTCATTTACACGTCATTTTTATGATCAAGACAGTCCACAAGTGGTATTGTCAGCTTCAGCTTGCGTTTGCGTTTGATCCTGCTGTCGTGTGGCCTGTCCGGATGCATATGGATTCCAGTTGGCAACAGACGTCTGTTGGCACGAAATGCTTCCAGAGTTGCAGCCGCCATATGGGAGGATGGGAAGGTTATCTTCAATAGCCGGGTCTAGAGTCTCCGTCTTTTTTGGCTAGTCTCGTCACCTGTTGGGTCAGTATGTTTTTGAGTTTCAGGGAATGCTTGATGAATTTCCATTCCCGAATATCAGAGTTTGCTTGAGCTGGGTCCATATTTTCCGGTACACCTTGCACAAAGATATTTCTTCCGCGGAAAAACGTCTCGTGAGATTCTTTAGGGATGTTCCGGATGAGATTTCGTTCAGTATACGGTATGTCAGGCAGCATTCTTACGTTCCCATTGAATTTCAGTAGGTGACTAGCTAGTAGGACGTTCTTTACGTCGGGAGCATTCTTGAGTGTTACACGAAGCAGCCTCGGGTGGTTTTGGTGGTTAGAGTCCTTCTACTGAGTAAGTCATGTGACTGTCAAAGGCTCTATTCTGGGGAGTTCAAGTTTTGTCCAATTCTCTCCAGAGCATCCTATCATTTTTGTCCTGCCTACTGAGAGGATGGTCGGGGTTGTCAATAAGATTCATGATTATGACAGAGTCGTCACGAACCGTAGCTGATTTCCCAGGTTTACCAAGACGTCTAGGTTTTATACCTTGTTGTTTGGATGTCGAAGCGCGTTTTCGATTCCTGGACTCAGTGATGACCGGGAGGACAGTCTTGGAGGTAGACTGTGCTGCCAAGTCACCAATTGATTTCCGCACGGTACTTGGTATGTTCAGCTTCGGAGGTGTAGTTTGGTCCTTTTTGCTCCTGTTAGCGTATGTTCAACCACCCACAGGGTTTTTGGGAACCACTGTTTCATTCAAGGACTTTTCCCTGGGGGACCCAAGTTTACCGGGGGAGTCGATCACCGTCGACGTTAAGTTCATCTTAAACATCCGACACATCAAATAGGATGTCTAGCTACCTCTGTCTGAAATGACTTGAAAGTTTGAAAGGTACCGCTCTTGTAGTTGAAGATATTGCGACGAGGAAAAGTCTTTTCCTTAATCAGTAAAAGACCGTTGATACTACTGTAGTAATGTTTTGGCACCATTGTGTTCTAGCCGTTCCTTGTATTTAGGAGTGCTATTCTTCAGTCTTCAGTATTAAGGATAGTAGGTCTAGTGACTTATTTGAATCCTTGCAGTTTGTTACACTGTGGAGGTCCAAACTCGTCTTGAATATATCAACAGAAGGTGCTGATATTACGTGTTCTGGTAAAGAATTCCAGTAATTCACTACTCGGTGCGAGAAACGAAACTCCAGACGTAGACGATTTGATCTCGGGTTATGGACTTTCTTTGAATGTCCTCTCAAATGACCAGCCCTAGACGGGAGGAAAAGATAGGACATGTTAGTACCAAGGTCAACTCTGAGACGAAACTCTAAGAAATCGCTCAAAAAATAAATATTATTAGTTTACTGTTTTTATATCTTCAAAGCAAGTTTGGACCTTCACAGGGCAACACGGGTCACTGGAACTCCCATCCTTATTATTGGTAACGCGCTACCTTCATTTTCTAGGTCACTTAGGTATGAGTGTTTCCGTACCAAAGAAATCTGAACCCCCAAAGATCTCTGATTTAATTGATTTTTGTCCCACCCTTAATTTGTACTTAAAGCCCATAGCTCGAGTGTGTATTACAGTTCAGATCCCTCTTCTTCATGATACATCTGGTCAGTTAAAGTCATTCACTACATGGGAGATCATTGAAAAAATCCGGCAACTATGTCCTGGAATTCTTGCTCCATCCACTGTTATGAAAGTAGTCCACACTACGTTGGAATTTGTTAGATTCGCTGTTGACTTGGAAAACAAAACAGACGTGAGGCGCGTGGTTACAAGTTTGGAAAGTCAGGTAACCCTACTTCATAAGAACGGTTTTGCATACATTTAGGCCAATCAGGGTTTCTTCCTCTATTTTTAAATTTGTCACTATCGATTGTTAATTTTGACTACATAGGGCTTATGCTTTTGTGCGTGAGTTGAAATGAATTCAATTCTTCAAATGATTTTGTTCGGTGAAAGACTAAAATTGCCTAACTGATTTAGTAGCAACCCTTATTATGCTTATATAAGACTCTCATCGTAGTGAATCGGTCATAGTTTCAGTTACTGTAGGCACTAATTGTTCAAGAGTGTTGGTGAATGTATGTAAAATATGTCGAAGCTAAATTGTCATATATACCTGCTGCAACAAAAATCATTTTAAACAAAATTTATTCTGTTTAGGAACAGATGTAAGGCCATGATACTTGATTATCAAATCTCGCCTTATACTACACAAGTTTCTTTTGTGGATTAAGGGATATTTTAAAATTTTTACTCTTTCTGAATTCAGGTTCAATGCACAAAATTAAGAATACTTTGGACATAGGTTTTTATTAAACTTTCTAATTCAGCATTTTGAAGATGGTATGTGCGTCCCATCCGACAAATTCGACACAAGATTGTTTAACATTCTACACTTACATGCATGCATTAATGTAAAAGTTTAGTGAAGCGTATGACGTTGGGAAACAAAGTTTTTGAAACGATATTGAGACCCGTGACTCATATAGATATGAAATAATTACATCCACGCTACGGCAACCAATTCTAAGTGCTATATCTGATTTCTAACCACGAATTACGGTTACCATATGTATCTCAGGCATATTTATGTATATCTTTATCTGTTTCTCGAACCTATACATCGATGTGTAACACTAAATAAGCCTATTCTTTAATACTCTATGTATTAGGTTCTTTTGGATGTCAGGTGTAAGATGATAATACGATCAGTGGAAGTAGTTGCAGCGGTCCGTATAAAAGAAATTAATATACTCGTATCCAAGAGTAGATTTATCTTATGCTCGAATTAGGAAAGACTACATTAGCTTAGTGTCCTGCTTTTTGGGTCGATATTGGTTATTAGTACTCAATAACTTTATGAAATTACTTTCCTTGACAGTAAATGATGTTCATGATAACGAGTAACAATGAGGTTATTCAAAATTAGTTCAAATCCAATCTTTTCCTATATCAAGATACTTTATGATTAAGAATACTTTGTTTGTGGTTTCAGTGTAAACATTCTTCATATTGCTATCTTTTCCCACTTGACCTCTAATCCTAAAACAATCAGGAAAATAATCCTTGGTGCATTTGGTCTCTTTATCTCTACTCAGAAACAACATTTTGCTGAATGATATTTGGATGTATGTACTTAATTAGAGAGTCATTTTATTGCCCGCCTCGGACCTGACAAATCAAGCGCTCGTTTTCAGTTTCAGTTCAGAAAGGATAAAAGGCTGGAAAGGTCGTGTTAGTCCTAGATATGAAGTCCTCTCAGTTGACCCAACATACTTTTGGATGATTAAAGAAGTTGTAATTATCCATTGAGAGAGAGTTCCACATGCTGATAATTCAGTAGGAAAGTTGGTAGTCAGGTCATTTGTTCCGAACTTTTTCGGAATATCTCATTAATGTCATGTTCTGAAAAGTGAATAAAATGAAGGGATTATGGAGGAGTTTGCTGGATGGACAAGTTTTGAATTCCTAAAATGGATGGCCATAGATGATATGCAATTGCACGGCTTGACGCTGTGATGGCTGCTTACAAAGCCGGATTACTGATTCAAACCCACAAATAAATTGAGATCAAAGACAAAACCATTAATGGGAAGAATAACTTTTTATCTAATGAAATATCATCCTTATGTATTGCTTCCGAACATTAAATAAATACGACTAAATATCACAGGTTATTGGAGGTAATCAGCTTCGTGGGTCACTCACTAATGAGTTTAAACCTGCCTTTTAGACTTAATCATTACCAGTCACGTGACAGGGTATGTCATATGAAAAGTTGCCACTAAGTAATTTGAAGACTGATCAGTTGACCTCTAGTGCTTCTATATGATAAAAGGAACACATAGTTTCTTCATACCATCGGTTAACAATTTCCCGAACCAACTTAGCTTCAATTTTTTAGACTGGTTCCAACAGCTTACTGTCTTTTAGACAGGAACTGTCTGTTTATATCCAGTACTCGAATTTCGCGGACAAATACTGCATACAATTTGCGAATATCTTGCCATTCGGGTAACTGAAAGACCTAGGTATTCCATAAGGAATTCTAAAACTTTTAGTAAACACTGCATGGGAGTGTACAGTGGTTGTTAAATTTTGACTAATGTCGATTTTGATCACCATGATTCTAGACAAAAGGTAACTCAATACCACTCATCATGTATGTTTTAGTAAATAATTGCTTAAGTTCTACCTGTTCTCTTTTAATTTGAATAAGTTTGTAATACTTTCTAGGATTTTACATGGGCATATTTATTTAAAATTTATCATCAATCTGTTACAGTTTATCAAGTTAAGTGGATTTCCACAAAATCTTCGTGTTCGCGCAAGTGAAGCTCCATATGACTGTCCAAGACGTCATGATTGGGAGGCGTTTTTCCGTGATGCTCAAAATATGGATGAAACTAAATCTGGTGAGAGGCCTGATACTCTTGTACTCACTGGTCTTCCTATCAGATGGTTTGCTAGTGGATCACACAACAGACCACGATTTCGCGTTAATAGTGATGACACTAATAGCAGCTATTTATCTCTTTTGGTCGATGAAGAAAAACCTGATCCTTCGATTGTAAAAGAAGCATTTGAAGTAAGTATAACTTCTTAATGGTAATTTTCGTTCTTGTTTAGAATATCTACATTCTTTCTCACTAAAATGTCACTGACCATAAAATTAAAGTTAAATTTCGGTTAAATATGATATAATAGTACAATCTCAGTTAGTACCTCAATTTCGTAGTTTCTTACTTTATCATTTAACCTTCAACCACTGAGTCACATTTTCGAACTTCGCCTTCGCATCAGATTTAAGACATATATACATATAGCTCATACTCTATTGCACAAACCTCCACATTGTTGCGAAGTTTTACTAAGTGGTCTCACCTTAACTTTCGCAAGTGGTACATATTTGTCATACATAGTAGTGTAATTAGCATATAATTCCAATATTATTGTTTATAGGTTGTTTATTAATATTCCATTATACATGTATTGTCATTACTACTATTCCTATTACTTGCAAGGTATTTGGAAAAATTCGGGAGATCGATATTCCAATGTTAGATCCTTCACAAAATCCTGATTGCTTGGAAGATTATATAAATAGCAATGAAACTTTAAATAGTTCGTGTAATACATTAAAAACTGACACTACAGTTGAATATTCATTCCGTAATCAATCTGGTTGTACAGAGGAGTATATTGGTGGGTTCGGAAAAATTGGCCCGGATACAATTGGAATTTTAAATCCAACTATACAACACAGTGTAACTAATTCGTCTTCAGCGGACACTGACAAATCAAAAGTATCTCATTTGATGAAGTCGAAAAAATCCAATATATTGACTAGTCCAACTAATACAAGTGTTGGTAGTCCACTTACATTTATAGCATATGTACAATATATGGATTATACTGGATTTAGCCGTGCTATGGACATGCTGCGTGGTCAGAAACTTGTTTATGCTCCAACTTATCGAAGTCAGTCATCAGCATTGGCGGATCAGAATGAAAAGTTGTACTATGCAGCTGAAATTAAGGTAAATCAATTAATTACCAGTCTTTTACAATTCCAACTCATCTAAAGTACGACAAGAATTAATTAAAGTTATTTCTCTTTATCATAATTTACATAAAGAAGGTTACATTTCACATTAGTGGTTACCCTAAACTTTAGATTGCCATCAACAGGGTCAATAATAAGTAACAACCTAATTCAAATAAAGTTTTTCTCTTTTTTTGAGGAAAGATAACTCGTCAAATCGGTATTTGATGTAAGATGCTGCGTAAATCTTACTGTTAACAAACAACTTATTGTATAATGGCTACGATTCTGTTCAATGTCTGACGTAAAAGTATATAAACAGTATCACAAGTGGATCATTAAAATGTAGCCAGTATCTGGCTTTTTAAGTCTCAACATTTCACTGAATTTCATATATTAAATATGATTGTCAAACTAAATGATTTTTCAGCGTATTGGGCTGCAATTTTTAGTTACACTGAGTCATGATCACCGATAGGACCTAAAACAACTCTTCAGTGACCTAAATTTCTTTAACATCAACACAGTGAAATAAAATTAACAAGATAAACAACGATAGTGTCGAAATAATATTAATATAAATGATTGCAAAGAATGTTCCAGAATGAAGGGGTGAAATGAGGGAAAAAGGGACGATCAGAATCAACCGAAATAAATTCACAAAACTAGTTTTCAAATCTTAGTTGACAGTTATCAACAGCTTCGAGAAAATGCTTCTCCCTTCAGAGGCAAGAAACTATATCCTATCAGACTTCAACTGTTCGCGTTTTGCGAATCACGACTTCCAATAAACGTAAGAATTTAAGTGATAACTCGCTTACTAATTGTCTGAGAGTATCAAATACGAAACATATATATATAATTTTGTCTGGTTTTGTGCTTAAGTACTCCCCTTGTTGTGCTGGTTTTTTGAAATGGATTTTTCTTTATAACCCCCATAATCGACCCTTGCTTTTCACACAACATGATCCAAAGTAAATGGAGCGTGACTAGGTCATTAAATTCCACAAGTTAATATAAAAAAAGCTTTTAGTGTCAGATGAGAATCTAAGATCCAACTTCGTCAGTTCTGCAAAGCTATAAAATAAATTTCTGACTATTTTCTGATCGACTCCGTCACTTACTTTTTTGGTATTAGTCATCTATTGTACAAAATCTTAATTTTTCAGAATTCAAGTAAGATTCTATGGTGACATTTAGAAACATATTTATGGCGCAGAGTTTATTATACTCGAAATATTATATCGAAGATATTTTTGTGAAATGCTGAGTTAGTGACAAAAAGACATTTGGCTTTCAATCAGCAGGTCTCAGGTTCCGATGCAACCTTTACCTACTCCTATTTTAACAACCAAATAGTAAGCACCATTAGCTCATGCGCACAAACAATATGGTTTAAAGCAGAAAACAAAGATCTGTCCAGTAAATAAGCTACATTCGTAAATGGTATGTTTTATTAAGTAAATCTGTTTTCTGTATAACTCTAGAATGGAATTTAATGATGAGATCTCACTTCAAAGCACTATTTACCTTTCCTCTCTATTGAATTAGATTGATTTTGATCGAACTAAACATTTATCACCAGATTCTATTCATGCAAGACAAAGCAAACGAAATCAACTACTCATAGTTGCTGAACGTAGACGTGTTGAAGCAAGAACTATAGCTGAAGCAGAACGTGAACGCTTACGTCTTTTAGAAGATTCAGAACGTAAAGCTGTAGAACGACGTGAAGCAGAAGCATTAGCCGCTGAAGCTGAGCGTATAGCGAAGCGTGCTGCACGAGAAGAAAGTAAACGACAAATTGTAAGTTATTGTTAAGTTTTTCAAGTGCTTCTCTTTCTCTCTCCATGTTTTCTTTTTTTCCTAATGTTCAATGATGCAGTTGGTGTAGTGTTTAAACACATTACTGTTGTAATAAAATAATCACAGTATTGTGCCAGTTGTGAGGCTTGGTTAGGAAGTTTTTTAAACAATGAAAAAGATTTCGGTAATGTCGCTTTTTTTCGAATAATAAATAATTTAATAATAAGGTCTTCATTGTCATTCCAAATAACATCACCAACGCATGCTTAAAGATATGCGACCCACTAGAGTTTCTCGGCAATTGACTATTACTGCTTATTCTACAGACCTGGGATTGGATTTGTTATTATATATTCTCACTGCTTACAAAATTATGATGAGTGTATACACGATGATAATAGAACTATTAGTAATAGCTAATCAAATTCCATTTGGATATGTATGTAACTGTTTTCTTCCGTTAAATCAAAGTTACTAAGTGATAGCTTTATAAAACTTCGCATCATATACAATAGTCGCCCATAAATAATTTATGGATATGAAGTAAAATTTAAAAGAAAAAACAGACAACCAAAGTTCATCCATAAATGGTCAACAGCGTATTGTACCAATACGAGTGGTATATGTATGTGGGTGTGTCATAAGCTGGTGTTAGACAACACTGATCAAGCCCTGCATATCTACAGCTGCTGTTTTGTGAAACAATTCTACGACTTTCTCTTTATAAAGTTTTATTATAATAGTCCTGCCTAGTAATGAGGATCAAAAATTCACATATAAATAATCCTACTTGAAGCTAGAAAAAGACAACAATACTGAAATTCATTTTATGAGGCACGGTACAAATATAAATTAGTCGTTTCAAACTTCAATAACAAATATATCACTAAATAAGTTAATCGTTTATATCAATGAATGAATTTATCTTCATGAAAATCGTTGAAAGTAAATTTTCTAGAACACAATTGATAATATTATTATTTATCATAGGCAATAGATCGGTGTAAAAGAATCAAAGAAGAGTTACTTAAAAAGAAAATATCCCTCGAAGAATACCGTCGTATAGTGGCCATACGTAAAGTGGAAGGTATACGATTAATGACTTTTTTACTAGCGAAAATACAGGTAAGTAACTGAATGTATATATATATATATATATATATATATATATATATATATATAGGTAGATTGTTTCAGTGCTTGGACACTACGTCTTTCAGGCATTAAGTTCGAGGTTCGAATCCCCGTTCCATCTACTTCGGTTCGGGCAGCTGAGTAGTATCAATACTCCTCACACGTATAATATGGCTCATACTCGAGTATCTTGTCAATGAGTCAATTTATACATATTGTAGGCGGCCTGCTTGAACATCTGGGCTACCTGTTCCTTCCATCTAAATATTTCAACAAGTTATCTAATTTTGTTAGTTTTAATACATCATTATGGTTGCTTAATCGCATAACCTATTCAGATGCGTTTCTGAAAAGTGTAAGACCTTTCGTTGTATGAGTTACAAAAGGCCCAATCAGAGATATCACAGTCGCTGGCAATATGCAGTGAAAGGAATGTACATTATCCAGATGTCGATTGACTAGACTGCTAACTTCTAACTGGCGATCACTCAATATTTGTTGTCAGGAAGGACGAAGAAGTAAGAAACGGAAACTTGTTGAAATACATTGTGCGGAGAATTCTATTTTTTACCAAAAATATAATATTGAATAAAGCTAATGGTAATAATAATCTGCTTATCAAAATGTTTATTTTTATGGCTGAACGATAATAAACAACAAAAGGAATAGTATATTCGGTATGTGACTAGTAGTAAGATATTGAAAACGCGCGTTTTGACATGCGATATTGTAATCATGATCATTAACATTGAGAAATTACAAACCTTTACTAATACTGTAGTGAACAAGAACACGAGTGGGGACAATCGAGTGTATTTAAGCACAAATTACAGACTATCTCACTAACTTCTGATAACCATACAGTAAACAGTTAATTTGCAAAATAACAATCAATTGTCTCAATCTAGACTGTTCCTTTTGCAAATATCAGTCCGCCTTCTCTGATTTCATTGTTCATGCATTTTCGTACAGATTGCGCTTCATTCCTGTTCTTTCCTAATCGATCTTCTGCTAATATACATTCTATGTCTGATCATCTTTATATACTACTTATGTGGATATAAGTAGACCACACCACAATACTTTTATAACCTTTGAACAAGTTAGTAATCATCTGGACCGAACGCCATTGAGTTTAAGTCTCAATGTAAATATTAACACTGAGATGTAAATATATTCATCTAACAAGTACCAAATAGAAAGAAACCGATACTACTTTTCTCAATTAAATCAAATGATAATTAAGTGATATTCACCACAATTCGTGCAGTTTAACAACGGTGTTATGGTAGAATCTAGCATAGAAAATGTACATCATTAGTCTAAGTTGTTATACTTCATGTTGGTTAGTACAACAAGAGATAAAAAAGGAAGGAAAATAAGAAAAAAAAATTGAAGTAATAATTTATTTAATAGTAGGTAAATATTTAACTTGGAAAAGTCTTCAACCGAGTATTGTTAAACAGGATGAAGGATTCCGTGGACGCCCAACTTCGAGATCAACAAGCTGGATTTCGTAAGGATAGATCGTGCACAGATCAAATCGCAACTCTGCGGATCATTGTGGAACAATCATTCGAATGGAACTCATCACTCTACATCAACTTCATCGACTACGAGAAGGCATTTGATAGCGTGGACAGGACGACACTATGGAAGCTTCTTCGACACTACGGCGTGCCTGAGAAGATAGTCAATATCATACGGAACTCCTATGATGGACTAAACTGCCAAATTGTCCACGGAGGACAACTCACCGACTCGTTTCAAGTAAAGACCGGTGTTAGGCAAGGTTGCTTACTCTCACCCTTTCTCTTTCTCCTGGTCATCGACTGGATCATGAAGACGTCAACATCTGGAAGAAATCACGGGATACAGTAGACAGGCAGGATGCAGCTTGACGATTTAGACTTCGCGGATGATCTGGCTCTTCTATCACAAACGCAACAACAAATGCAGGAGAAAACGACCAGTGTAGCAGCAGCCTCAGCAGCAGTAGGTCTCAATATAAACAAAGAGAAAAGCAAGACTCTCCGATACAATACAATATGCACCAATCAAATTATACTTGACGGAGAAGCTTTGGAGGATGTGGAAACCTTTACATATCTGGGCAGCATCATTGATGAACACGGTGGATCAGATGCAGATGTGAAGGCAAGGATCGGCAAAGCAAGAGCAGCATACTTACAACTGAAAAACATCTGGAGCTCAAAACAATTGTCAACCAACACCAAGGTTAGAATTTTCAATACAAATGTCAAGACAGTTCTACTGTATGGGGCGGAGACGTGGAGAACTACGAAAGCCATTATCCACAAGATACAAGTCTTTATTAACAACTGTCTACACAAGATACTTCGGATCCGATGGCCAGACACTATCAGCAATAAGTTACTGTGGGAGACAACAAACCAGATTCCAGCAGAGGAAGAAATCAGGAAGAAGCGCTGGAAGTGGATTGGGCACACCTTGAGGAAATCAGCTAATTGCGTCACAAGACAAGCCCTCACATGGAATCCTGAAGGTCAACGGAAAAGAGGAAGACCAAAGAACACATTACGCCGAGAAATAGAGACAGACATGAGAAGAATGAACAAGAACTGGATAGAACTAGAAAAGGAAGCCCAGAACAGAGTGGGTTGGAGAAAGCTGGTCGGCGGCCTATGCTCCATTGGGAGTAACAGGCGTAAGTAAGTAAGTAAGTAAATATTTAACTTAATCTAAGAACTAGAATCAAATAGGATAACTAAAAGCATAAAGTAATATAAAATATCAAAATTTAGAAGATTAATTAAATTTTGACCTATTTATATTATACATACGAAACCTGATACAATTGGGTGCCGAAAAAATTAAACACCACACAAACAAAGAGAATAAAATTATGAGGTAAAGGCTAGTGAAGTTTACAATAGATGTTATACAATTAAAAATATAACTGAGAAAGATTCCTTTAAGTTTATTTATTTATTATTATTAGCTTTACTCAATATTATATTTTTGGTACAATATGGAATTCTCAGCACAAAGTACTTCAACAAGTTTCCGTTTCTTACTTCTTCGTCCTTCCTGACGATAAATATTGAGTGATCGCCGGTTAGAAGTTAGCAGCCCAGTCAATCGGCATCTGGATAATGTACATTCCTTTCACTGCATATTGCCAGCGACTGTAATATCTCTAATTGGGCCTTCTATAACCTTTACAGCGAAAGGTCTTACATTTTTCAGAAACGCATCTGAATAGGTTGTGCGATTAATAGGCATAATGATGTATTAAAACAAACAAAATTAGATAACTTGTTGAAATATCTAGATGACGGGAACAGGTAGCCCAGATGTTTAAACAGGCCGCCAAAGAAGAATTTATCAAAGTTGAAGTACTTCCATTCATTTTTTATGGAAAATACCTCAGGCAACTAAGTTGTACCATTTCTAGGATCCCAATCAGGGTATCGCAACAGATCCTCAGCCCTAAACAGCTTTGTTTTATACAACAGTGCTATTTTATAGATTAAACACCTCTTGGCTTTTTCTACATTGTCTCAGTGTCACCAATCAATGCCCGGTGTGAAAATCACCGAAATGGAATTCCTAAAACATGATCAGCCTAGTAAATTTAGTGTTTCAAGATGGTGACGTCAATCGGATTTGTTCACCTCACTTTTAGGGTCACTTTTTTTCTTTCAGACCAGTGATAATATGGTTTAACTAACTGATAGTCTTGTAGCAAGCCCATTCAACTATTGTATTATTTGTGTGCTCTCTGTTATTTAGACATTTAATCCACTTCGTAAATTTATGTGTGAGTCTGATTGAGCGCATGTCTGCACACCAACTTTAATCTATTCTCTCATTGGTTGTAAGCAAAGACAATCAATAATTTATCCACAATCCATTAACACTTAAAAAAATACATATGGATTTCTTAACAATCATGGACACACAGACACTCACTTGTTTTCCCTGTGTGCTAGCTATCTGTACGCTTGCGGACTTTACCAAACTTCAACAATAAACTATCTCTATAACTCGTGTTCAGGCTTTTGAATAATCTCGAGTAAACCAATAATTTCTACTAGGAGATTTAGCCTGCCTTAAATATTCAGTTAACGGGATATTATTTATTTATTGGAGTCAAATATAAAAGAATTGGTCTTCTACAAACTAATTTTTTCCTTCTGATCATATCTAATCTCTTTCCAACAGTTCTCCCTACGCGACTTTAAATGGGTTTCCAACTGAAATCAGTTCACGATGAAAGTTAACTTCATATGAAATTTTAGAAAAGAAACCCCTACACAGTTTACACTTATCCGGCTACACTAAACTATTTTAATTGTCTTTCAAAACTTTAGAACAGTGTTCACAAGTATAGGTAATGAATGTGGGTGTACTGTTACATTTTTTTAATTTATTATTCGATTTATATATTTTTTCTTAGGCTCGTCATGATTTAATCGTGGCTACTAGACGTCTTGCTCGTATCTCAAAAGCAGAGAAAGCTTTAGCCGAAGCAGAAGCTAATGTCAATGTTGCCTTATCTAATACATCACATAATAATAGTAATATTCAAACAACACCAGATAAAGCTGATAATCAGTTAGAGATATGCGAAGAAAAAGATTTCAATAAGATTTGTTCACAATCTGGTTTACCACCCCTAGTTAATTCTTCTCCTGAATCTACTGAAGATGAAGTCGGACAAAACTCACAATTTCAACAATTATTAAATAAACGTGAAGAGTTTCTACGAAATAATTTGTTGCGTGTAAGTTCTTTTGTAATCTTACCGTAATAATATAAAAATTAATTTCATGTATTGCTTTAGGGATTATGAATCATCTAATGTGTATAAATGTAGACTATTATATATCAAATATACTATAGTAGTAATGTTGCAGAAGAATGTCTGCTCTAAAAAGAATGTTTCAATTCAATTTCCCATATATACACACACAATTCATGATAGATAGATAGCACAGTAGAAAACAATCCACGTAAAGTAGAAAAGGATAGTAAGACAAACAAACATACGGGACATAACTCAAAGAAAGATATGTTGAAAATTTCTAGCACGATTAAAAATGAATGAACTTACAGGGTTATGGTAGAATTTCAGTTAGACTATTCAGAGCCTTAATAATTATAATAAGTTTATTCAATATTAAATGCATAGTTCAATATGAAATTTCCAGCACATGTTTGTAATAAAAGCCTGATAAAGATTTTTCGAACCATTGAACTCCTAGTGATCATCTATGAAGATAAATTTGCGTTAGTTGATACAAATTATTTATACTTTTTAACACAATGAAGTTAAGAAATCTTGTTTTAGCGATTATTTTCTCAGCAGTTTAGTACATCATTATAAAACTTCTGGAAAGAGTTAAGTAACTGAAGACTTTCAGTAATTACTGTCTTGATTAAAACTAAAAGTTATTAGTAAACATTTGATTAGAACTGAATATCCCAGTTAATTTCTTTCTATAAAAAGAGTTGTTCTTCGATATAATACTTATATGACACTGTTTTCATATAAAACGATGAATTCATCTTTAAAGCCTAGGTGCATTGCGATAGGCTCAGGTCCTTGGTTAAATCGATTTTATGTTCACTCTCTGCCAAATTTAAGTGCACCGCCACATTCATTGCAGGCTAAAAATAGTTGTTCTTATTGATATCAGAGCCGCCTACAGTTGGAAAGGATTTTGTCAGATATTATGTTGAAGTAGGGTGTTTCTTCAGAATTTACTATCTTGAATGTTCGGTACACAAACACCTCAGGCAGAATGAGGGTATGCAACCAACTCTGTTCATTGATCCATTCATGCAATGGGGTTATCTAATTTCACCATTCCTCTCCACTTGTACCATCGGTAACGTTCTGGAAACAGCTCTGATGGATTTAGGTAATGGTAGTGGGGATCTGTTACTTGAAGAAGGTCTTATCGATCGTAAGTATGTGAATGAAATTGCAGTCTTGTGTAATCGTACACTAGCTAGGTGGACTTTCCGTGCCCACCAACCCGGTTAAAGCGCCAGACATTCGCTTTTCGTCCTCTCACTTTCGGGAACAACACCCCCGCCACGAGAAGGCTGCGAGTTGCACTTCCCTACCAGGGGCTACATACGCGTGGCCATGTGGGAGCATTTCGAGAGGGAGAGCGGACTCTACCCAATTCTCTTTATATCTGACGGAAAATGCAAAATTGGTAAGTTGGCCGGTTCAGAGCAAGACAATATCTTGCCTAATGCACATGAAACTGTGACAGTGTCAGATGAGCAAGAAAAAGAAGGTTCCGCAGACAACCCCAGGAGTCCAGAATCAAATGAAACACCATTAAGTCCGCCCATATCTGAAGACAAACTTAAGTCAGAACAGAACTACAGTTTGCGTGATGTTGGCCAAGAAAACTGGAAGAACGCATGTTCAGAAAATAACTGGAACAGTACAGTTAACCAAATTGCGCCAAATGTGATTCGAAATCATGGGTAGACAGAAGCCTATAATATGGGTTCGCGTAATGATGCCCATAATTCTGATGAAATTTCGTATAAAGATGAGAAAACTAAGTCGGTCGAATCAGATGGTGATCAAAAATCTAATGCGAATTTATTAGATGCCGATTCTCCTAGTTATCTAATATCCTCTAGTGAATATTTTAATGAATTTGATGGAGATATTTCAGAAAAGCTGAATTCCGATAACCTAAAATCAAATATCGTTCATCATCATCTATTCATTTCTAGTAGATTCTGCGTTCAATACGAGAAATATGTCATACTTATTGTATTTTGGAGATATGAAGATCCAACATTATTTCGTGGGGGAGGAAATGTTGGAGAATTTCAACTTACAGATAGTTTTTAAAAAAAATCAGAATCTAATTTTCGAATCTTCAAAAAAAGGGAGGTGTTAGATCGGCTTACAATAAACTCTATCAGAGCCTCCAGAGTCTCATAAAGAGACCAACCAATCAGCGATTAGTTAGAAGCTATGCTACTAAAATAACAAGGTCCTGATTGGCTGTTAACATACTGTTACTATGGGATCTCAAGGTCTTTTAGCTACTATAAAACCCCTGTTTTTCTGTACATAATTGAACCTTGTAGTAAAGTGCTTCTCTGATACTCGTGTCTTCTCTCTGGTCTTCCAAGTCGCTGAATAGTGCTAGCCTGGGGTTATCCGAATAAAACGTTCAACTTACAAGTCATAACAAGTTCTTAATAGTGTTGCTGAATCGGATGAAAGACGCAGTCGACGCCCGACTTCGATATCAACAGGCTGGATTTCGTATAGATTGGTCGTGTACAGACCGAATTGCGATACTACGGATTATCGTGGAGCAATCAGTTGAGTGGAACCCGTCACTATTCATTAATTAACGTCTCATTCGTTTGTACGCGAAAAACCGAGAGTAATGACGAATCCTCTGCATGTAACTTATTCTTATTCTAGACATTCACGAACACTCAATCTTTCAAATTGTAAACAGTCTACCTTGTATTGAGTAGTAGAAGTTAATAAGTGGTTTTCTCGAAAATTCTGTGAAGATATACAACACCACGGAGCAGTACGAATAGTCAGGTCAGTATTCTGTATAATTTGCTGGAATTTTTTATCAAGTGAGGTAAATACTATGTTAGTGATCATCGCACTTTCATGACCACTTTATAACTGGCTATTTCTCCTGTTCTTATTGACTACTTATAAAAAAGTGAGATACCTTAACAGATATTAAGAATTCATCGTTAGAGGCCATATTGTGTAGTAGCATATCCTAGAATATTTTAACGCAATTTCTATGATTTGATTTTCTGAAAACTCTTCTATTTCGTTCTAGAAACGAGCTGAAATATTACGAACACAAATTTATGAACGATCAATCATGTGCAATCCAACTTTTCCTGGGTATAGAGGACGCATTCAACTAGATCGAGAAAAATATTGAAAATTTTGTTTTTACTTATTACTCATTTAATTGATAATAAGGTTGTTTTCTATTGAAAGAAACGTTTGTACAGTTTATTAGATTATAATTTTTACTGTTTAAACACCATCTTTTATCTGTGCTTGTTGTTTTGAGTACTTTGTCAGTGTAGTAATGTTTAAAGTATCTAAAATGTGTAGACATTGGACGAAACGAAATATGTACAGATGAAATAGGAATACACTGTATATTATAAAAGTATGTCAGCTACAAGTATGTAGTTTCCTTTTTCCATTTCGACACAATTTACCTATAGTAATCAAAATCTAGTTATCCGAAAACTCAGTCAGTCACAACGTAGAACTTCGTACGTACGTACATCAGTTCGAGTTGCCATACCACATTAGCACAGAGATGCAGTTGTCGATTCAAATCCCAGTGGTAGAAGTAGTAGGAGTCGGTGGTCGGGCATACGTAACACATGTCCCAGTCATCTCAACTGATGAAGTTTCACTACTTCATCAATCCATTTGCCATCCCTACCTAGTACTCGTTTCCTAACAACTGCATCTGCTTGAGGCCGGTCACGCACGGCCTTTTTGTGAGGGATTTTTGACGCATTAGCTCCGTTCTTCAAAAGTCCTTACCGCCGAAAACGGAAATCCGTGGGATAAGGCGAGGTGTGCATTTTTAAGGTCGACCTTTTCTAACCCCACTTCTCCTTGTGGGAAGGCAGCATCGCTGTCATGCTGGTTGTCTGAAGGAAACACCTTACTGCTTTCACACCTCTGTACAGTCAGCAGTACGACTTCGCCTTCGGACCTTGGGATTGCTGCTTTTAGTCTCACCGCTCTTCAACCGACCTGTCTGGCATGGTAGGACCTTGAGGAACGATTGTTCCAGCCAGCATAGCTCGATTGGATCATCACGATAGGCAAGCCCGACCACCACGTCAAGGTAGCAGCAACGGTCGGGCCTTTGATTAATAGGATTTTCTAGGAAACGAAAAAAAGATTCCCCAGTTAGCTCCACTTCTCAAAGCATTAATTACCTGAACATATATTGACGGCTAACGGATAAAGTCTAGCTAAAATGCCATATCTATGTACTAGCATGGGCAACGAAAACTATCCGCAGTAATAAAATATAGGTTTCCAGGTCTATTCTTCTGAGATATACGTTTGAGTGCGAAACAAATGGTCAGCAATTTTGACTGCACAACAGAAACATACAAACCAGCATTTCAACTGGCTATAAACGCGCATCATAGCAAAAATCATGCATTCTGTTGCGATGATCCTGAATATTTTTCGCATCAGACATGACAGGCTCAAGAAACATTTTATCCAATCAGCGTTTGTTTAGAAGTTTTGCTAGAAATATCGCAAAAATGATAAGTCACATATAGTGTCTGATTGGTCGAATAATACACTGCTACTATGTTTAGCAGCATTCTAAAATTTTCAGGAAAATCCAAGGACTTCTAAAATATAAAAATTCTATGTTTTCTGTACATAAAGGAACCTTTGAAGTAACGTGCTTCCCGCATATTTTGTGCCTTTTCTCTCGTGTTCAAGTCGCTGTCTAGTTCTAGCTTGGGGGCTACGAGACTAGCTCAGGATCCGAATATTAAGTTTAATCAGCAAGACTTATCACATTCCATGACAACTACTTTCAGCCTAACCAATTTTCATCCGACCCTAATTTCTTCTCAAAATATCAAGGAATTAGGTTGGGGTCAGTAAACATTGAACAAAGGCTTGAGCAGGAAAACTAAATTATATTATGCAAAATTACATAGATGTGGAAACAAAGGACAAAAGTCCTCTTGTGACAATTACAGAGGAATCAGTTTGACTAATATAGTGTCTAAAATATTAGCTTCAATAATACTTCGACGCCTAATCAAAGCTCGTAAAGAGCAGACTAGAGAAAACCAGGCTGGTTTTCGACCTGGACGTGGTTGTATAGACCAGATATTCGCTCTACGTCAGGTCCTAGAACATAGACATACATTCAGACGTCCCACAATAGTAGTATTTGATTTCGTTGATCGTGAGGTTTTATGGCAGTGTTTGTCACTGAAAGGAGTACCAAAGAAGTACATTAACCTCATAAAGGCTCTCTACTCGAACACAACTGGTCGAGTTAGAGCTTATGGCGAACTGTTATCAGAATTGATTACCTCAAGTGGTGTTCGTCAGGACCTAGGATCGTAAGTATCATGCATATGCGCAGTTAGAGTACTTCTAAATGTAATCATGTGATAACGAAATTTCGGACAGGTGGGAAAATCAAAATTCATAAATGTGGTTTAAGGAGCAGTGTGACGACGAAATAGATGGAGGCTAGATTGGCTAATTTAGCTAACGAATACATTGCTTCACCATAAGTCATCTTCCTCACAAATCTATAATCACAGTCTTTTACCATTCCGAAAATAAAACTTTTGAGTAAGTCAACTGTTTATTGTATACCAAATAACTGGCGCATGAGAAATCATCCGGAACCAGAAAGGCATATGCGAAATACAGACGAGTGACCATTTATCATATCAACACAGACTCACATTACATACATCAATTAAGTATTAAGACATGTGTTATGATGTATTCATTTCAATTGACAGTCTGAAAAAAATCTGAAACAATTTGAGATGTCTACAAAGAACATTATTAAACAAAGCGCATTTACAAAAGGCAAATGCCTATTGGTTGTACAAACATTAGTCTACATAAAGTAATTTTTAAATTTCCCAGTCATTCAATACAATGTTTCTATGTACAAAATGCGCACTGGGTGATAGACAGGAAAAATTAGAAGTTTGGCGCATTTACTGAAGATGGAAATTAAAGAAATGACGAGGAACCATTGGCATAGCCAATGTCTTAAGCATCTCAACCTGGATGGTTATGGTTTTAACAAAATTGGTGAAATCACTTTTGTTAAAAAAGAATCCCGTAGGTTGTAAGACAAAGGCACGGAAATGGTTCATTTCGACGTCTCATCAGTTTTATAAAAAGTAAGGAATGGATGCTAAACAACTTTGTACAATTTTAAACTACATCTGTCACTACTTGACTGGATGAAACATCCGATATGTTGTGATGAGACCCATCAACGTCATTATTTGTTTGATTTTTTTCAAATTGACTATGATCATTCTTGTCTTTTATTTGTTCTTCTTCCTCACTTTCCTCATCTGAATAATCCACTAAGCCAATAGGAGACAATGGATCAGCTTCTATAACCTATAAGCATATGATAAATGATTTATTAACAGAACATGTGATGTTACTCTTTTGTAGTTGTTGCTGGGATGACGACATTTACTGCACCAAACAATCGAAAAATATACGATAGACACCACCAACTCAAAATAGAATAAGCATGTTTTATTAGACTTACTATGAGGTGTCGATGTGTAAATAAATTACATATATTTACCATGTATTTATCAGAAATAAATAAACATCATAAGCCCTAGTTAAAACACCAAGGGAAATTAAAAATGCGGTATATTCCACAAATGTCCAAGTACAAAAGGGTGGGGCATACCCTCAGTATAATATACATAAGATGGTGGGGTTGGTTGGAGGAAGTCGACAGGAAGCCCCGGATTTAGGTTTCGTGCTATTTGCCACTCGTCAGTAAGGTGTACCTGTAATCTCGAGGGAACGGAAGCTCCCTGGCTGATTCGATCTCGTGTTACCCAGCTTCACAGTCAGAGACGTTACCACTTGGTCGATAGGATTTGATGTGCACTAAGGAGGACTTGACATACATGACGTTGATCACTACCCGGTGATCAATCAATTGTAAATACATCTCAGGCCTACATGAGGTCGGTCGTTGCCCAGTGGTAACGTCTCTGACTGTAAGGCTGGGTGACACGGGATCGAATCCGCCAGGGAGCATCTGTTCCCTTTAGATTACAGTTACACCATACTGACGAGTGCAAAATAGCATGAAACCTAAATCCGGGGCTTCCTGTCGACTACCTCTAACCACCGTCTTAACATAGTGTACGCAATGTCGAGTCATCTATACTGGTGGCCACATTGCAACTTGGTCTGTAGGATTCGATCTGCACTAAGAAGGACCTGATACACACGACATTGATCACCACCAAGTGATCAATCAACTGTAAATATAATATACAAGTTTAAACGGAAAATTTGTATTTTATGATTAAGTTATCGTCATTCATAATAATCAGTACGTTAAGGTGGATGATGGCTAACAGTGGAGTCCAGGACGCGAGTTTCGTCCTATTTGGGACTCGCCAGCTAGATGTGCCTGAACCCCAAAGTTGTTCACTCCGGAATTTAAACCCAGTATAGTTCGCTTCAAACGCCATCGCGTTATCCACTTAGCTACTGAGTCCTGATAGCCACCTGTTTGTGAAGTCGGGTGAAATTTAAATTCACTCGGTATTGTTTGCTTGTATCTTCCCATTGTCGTTAAGGTCTGCAATTAATCAGTCCCTTTGTTGCATATATGCATCCTGTGCAGATTGCCTCGATATTGTCTTAAGTCACAAGCTTTATAAGCAAGGATGCAGGTACATCCAGCTGATGAGTCCCAAATAGGACGAAACGCGCGTCCTGGATTTTACTGCTGGCTAACACCTATCTTTGCTTATAAAGATTGTGACTTAAGACAATATCGAGGCAATCCGTACAGGATGCATATATGTCAACAAGAGACTAATTAATTGCAGACCTTAACAACAATGGAAAGTTATAAGCAAGCAATACCAAGTGAGTCTGAGTTAGTAGGTTGCTACACAACAAAACTGTAGACCATAGGTTCAGAGGATGATCCCATGAAGAACCACCCGCTTGGTTTAAACACCCAAAGAGAATTCCAGACTTTATACAAACTATGTCAATCTAAATGAATGACCAACATAATAAACCAGTGATCATATGATAATTTTTTAAATGTATTCTTCGTAGACAATAATATGTTCCTTTGAGTCAAACAAAGTATATTTTGGTTGCGCCCAAAGTCCTCCA